AACCAGAGGAGTCGCCCCCTGGTGGTCACTAGAGAGAATGCAGCTTTTAGACACGTCCGCATCGGCTTCACTCAACAGAACCGGAGGTTGCCGCCTGCCACAGACATATAATAATAAAATATCTAATAATAATAATAATAATATTCGCTGTTGTTAAATCCCCCCCCATTTCCTTTTCTGTCCTTTTTTCCTTCCACACTTCTTCCTCTCCTCCTCTTCTGTCTCCTTTTCCTCTTTCTTTTGGCGTTTCTGTCCTTTTTCTCCTTTCTTTCTATCGTCCTTTCATTCATCCTTCTTCCTTTCCTCTTTTCTTTTGGCACTTGTTTTTTATTTCTTTCTTTCCTTCTATCCTTCAACAGTGGTCCACATCCTTTTTTCCCATCTTTCCTTTTCCTGAAATTCTGCCCTCATTCCTTTCCTTCACCTTAACTGTGCTTCCTTCTTCCCTTCAGGCCTTCTCTCTTTCTCTTATTCATTTTTGTTCATTCATCATTCTTCCTTTCCTTTTCCTTTTATTCCTTCTTTTCATGGCTTGCCGTTCTTTCTATCCCTTCTTCCCTCCTCTGCCCTTCTTCTCCTATCTCACCTAATCTCGTTCTGCTTCGGTTCACAAACATTGTGATTTGGCTGAAGTGTGACTGTGGCAGCCATATTTGTCTTCCACTCATCTTTCCGTCCATTAGCGACGGAGCAGAGAGGCGTTGCTGAACCTCATTTCCTTTGGAATGACCCTAATTACACGCTCAGGAAATCTAAGATAATTAGCACTCAGGATTTGAGATTTGGTCCTTAACTCCTCAAAGATGAGGTCATCCAAGTGCGTCAGTTTGCTCTGAGGAGGAAACGGGGAAAAGTTACGACGACTGTCGATCGACCTGAGATGTTTTCGTCTGAAGTTTACAACATTAGCTTGTTGTGTTGATCGACTTAATGAGGGTAAACTCAAAGAGTCCATAATTTATAAAACCTACAAGAACCTTTTTTCAGTGAAGTGTTTTAAAATCTTTGGAGTGTCTGCTTTCCTTCAATTTCCCAGAATACCTCACTGTAACGTCATTGCCATCGGAGTAGTGAAGACATATTGTGTCTTTCGAGATATGAAATACATTTTTCACTTCAATGAGACTGACTTCCTTAAATAAAATCAAGCCTCCCTGTCGATGATGTAATGACCTCATCTGACCGATCAGCTCACGACGTCTCCTCAAAACCGAGAGCAGCGTGAGAACTTGACTCTGCTGCTAAAAACAAACGGTGACGTCTGTGTTGACGTCACAGAGAACAGCACTGAATCACCATCAATCTGTATTGAGCAGACACAGAAGGAGAGATTAAACCAGATCTTCATCGATCTCTTCCAACCGCTGAGTTTGCTCCCATGAGGCCGAGGGGCCACAGATGACTTCACGGTGGGACCGCACGAGTCATTTTGATTGGCTCGTTCCAAGGACGGGGAAAGCTGCTCCACCGGCTGCTGAAGCTCCACCAGGTTAAACTCTCCAATGTGGATTGTCTAGCCGTGGCGTTTTTTTGTGCTGCAATGCCCAAATTCACAAATGTTCGATAATCGACTCTAATGAATGAGATTAGTGGGACTAATTACTTTGTTTGTACTGTTCAGACATCAGTCAGGGAGAGTAAACCTGTGTTCACTGATGTTTTTACATTAACTCTCATATATATCATGTATATCTTTACACTTCACCAGTGAAAATAAACAGCTCCGGAAGTCCTTCTGCTGGTGTGAATCAAAAATAAGAGTATGTTAACAGACAAGGAGATAATGACCAACTATTCTGATAATTAATGAATCATTTTTCATGTAAAAAATAGCCTCTTAAATATGAAGATTTCCTGCTTTTTTCTTATTTTATATCATATTAAACTGCATGAATATCTTTGGGGTTTGGAGTGTTGTTATCTCGACATGTTAGTTTATTTACAGCAGCATATAACAGCATTTTGTTTCTTAATATCTACCCTTACATGTTGAAGCTTTGGGACTTTGTGGTTTGAAGATGAGGACTGATGAGGTTATATTTGGCCTCATACAACGGTTCGTACTCTAATAACTCAGGTAACATGCTGCTCCTTACATGAATACAGTCTTTTCAAAATAAACTTCCGTCTTCACAGGAAACAACACATTTAGGATTAAGCAACAAAACTACTTAGTGAGGTTTAGAAAAAGTAGCTGGTTTTGGTCAAAATAATTACGTTAGTGCCGTTACTGAAGTAGAGAAGTTGTGTGACGACAAAAAATAAAATCCACGTTGACTTTTCGTTTCACACGAGGAACAAACAGCAGTGTGCTCGAGGAAAGAGCCATGTTCGTTGGATCTTCAAGAAAAATGTAAGAACATTGCATTGATCTTAAATTGCCAAATACAAAATGTTGAATCCAAACTGAATTGCTTCATGTGGCCGTCTCTAAAAGACAAAATACAAAGATGCATTCATACACAATACAAACAACACCATGAAATAATTGACCCCTTCTCCATGAACTAAGTTGTCAGCATGCAGGACTTCAAGGTAGCTGTCAGCTGTCCCGCTGCTGATGTGTGGAACACCCCCAACCGCACACACACACACACACACACACACAACATGCAGGGTTAAGGATATTCCTCGTCAAACACAAGGTTCTGCATGATCAGCACCGTGAGTCCCCCCCATCACTCCCAGCATGCTCTCCTGTCGGCATCGCTGCAAACGCAGACAAATCTGACCTCCTGTTGAGAGTGGGGGGTGGCGTCGGGGTCACTCATGAGCATCACATCAGAGCTTACAAGGCTGCACTCTGTCCGTAAATTAATACATAACAGTAAATAATCCAACTGTCAAGTCATCACTAATGAAGCTAAAGGCCGGTTTTGAGGGGCTCGCGGTGTCCACAGTGTGCAGGACGTCTTCTTCGTGGACGAGGAGGACGGTAGCTTATAGTAAAGAACAGGAAGTGAGACGATGATGTGATGATATCATCTGCTGCTACTTTAGGATGATCTTGTGTTCTCGTGGAATGCCATGACTCAAAGATCAAACCGAGTTCCCGCCTGTTTCATTGAGGATGGTTGAGGACGTGACTTTGTGTCTGTGTGTGTGTGTGTGTGTTCTTGTACTTGCTACATAGCGAGGACCAAAAGTTTTCAACTACAGAGTGAGGACTCTTTTGGATATTGAGGACATTTTGGCTGGTCCATGATAGAGTTACTTTTAGGTTTAGAGTTGGGGTTGGTTTTCAGCATTTAGTTGCAAAATGGAAATGAGTGTCTTCACAAGGATAGAAGTACAGGAATGTGTGTGTGTGTGTGTGTGTGTGTGTGTGTGTGTGTGTGTGTGTGTGTGTGTGTGTGTGGACTTTGGGTGTCCAAGTATCCCAGAATGCATCAACGAACGGAAAAACTTGAGCTCAGATCACAGCTGTTGTTTTCATCCTACAGCTGTTATCTCATTAAATTAAGTTTTTGATCTTAAGGTAAAGTTAGGCTTCGTGGTTCTCTGGACTCAAAGGTGATGTCGGTGGTTCTGGAGAAACAGTTTTTGATATTCAATCATCCAAGGACTTTCCTGTCCTGAGCATGAGCACAAACGCCTGCTGCTGATTGGCTGGAATCGTGTTGTGTGGCTGGGCTGTGAATGACAAAAGTGTATTGGATTAGAATAGCTGACTCCATTCTTAAGAGTCCTTATATGGTTTTCTGAGAAATGTTGTATAATTTAACCATTAAAACACAACTTCCTCCAAAATCTGTAGTTTGTTGCTGTGACTGATTTAGCTGTTTCTGTAGTTTGATGTGTGGTAGAGAGTTCTTCCACCTCTGCACTCCTAAAACCCTCCGTCACACTCCGGTGAATCAAACTGAAGCTATCACCCATGACTGTCACCGCGGTGTGACGCTGCTTCCAAACTTCTTCTCATAAAGATCGCCGTCTCTCATCTCGTCCTTGTGACTGCAGTCATTAACGCCGCGCATGCCGCCGCTGTCCTCTTCCCACAGCTGTTTCCTCTCTTCCCACAGCCAAAGCGCTGTTTGCATATCGCCGAGCAAATTAACTGTCAGAATTGCATCGTCTGCACTCCCTTTATTGAATCTCGCCGGCAAATTGGTTGTTAGGAATCCTCGGGGGTGGTATCAGCTCCGGGGAGCCCGGCAGGGCCGAGCCTCCGCTGGGTAGATGGATATAAAGTGGATTAATGGGGAGAGAGAGAGAGAGAGAGAGAGAGAGAGAGAGAGAGAGAGAGAGAGAGAGAGAGAGAGAGAGAGAGA